TTCAAATCTCACCGGCTCAAGGTTGACTCAGCCTTCCATCCTTCCAAGGTGGGTGAAAGGAGGACCCAGACTGTGGGGGCGATATGCTGACTCTGGAAACTGCTTAGAGAGAGCTGAAAGCCCTATGAAGCGGTATATAAGTCTAACTGCTTTTGCTATTGCTTTTTATTTAGTGCAAGGATCTCCACAGAGGCAGTCCTCCACTTATGACTGCAATCGAACCCAAAATTTGTATTTCTAAGCCAGACAGTCGTTAAGTACATTTGTCCGCATTTTATGACCTTTCTTGCCACAATTATTAAGTGAGACACTGCAGTTGTTAGGTTAGTAACATGGCTGTTAAGGGAATCTGGCTTCCCCATTGACTTTGCTTGTCAGAAGGTTGCAATGACCCCGGGACACTGCAACCATCTTGAATATGAACCAATTGCCAAGCATCTGAAATTTGAACATGGCCATGGGGATGCTGCAGTGGTTGCAAGTGTGAAAAATGGTTGTAAGTTCAAACGGTCAGTAAATGAATGGTTGCAAAGTCCAGGATTACCTGTACTGTTTTGGAGCTGTTATTGTTACTTATTGGGTCTCGAGCAGAGGTGGTATTCAGCCGGTGCTCTCCGGTTCGGGTGAACTGGTAGGGGCGGCTGCGGGAAGGCTCCTCCCAACCGCCCTGACGTAATGTGCGAGCACTGTGCATGCATAGAAGGCAGTGCGCATGTGCAGATGAGGCTCGTGCGCTCACATTTGCGAACTGGTAGGGAAGGTAGGTGAATCCCACTCTTGGTCTTGCGCTGACGATGATCACAAAGAGGCATGATGGAATGGTAGCCTTACCGTTTATAATCTTTTTTTGGTTTTTGTACCCAAGCTTACTCCCACTTATGAAATATTGACATTTCAATATTGGAAAGGTGAGGAATGATATATTGTTTTGTTTCTCTTCCTGTACTGTAGTCATGGAGTTAATGAGGCATTTAGAAACACACAAATATGAGTCATCCATTAAGAAGATTGCTCTTCCTGAGAAGAGGCGGCAGAATGTTGCTTGGGTATATGGATAACGTATTATTCCCGCTTTAGGTAGAAGTCACTGACTTGAGACTTCTTTCGTATCCTATATGCCTGCTCTTTTGGATTTAATTTAACAGCCTTTATGTACAGCTGCTCAGCTCCTGTCAGACTAATATAATTTAGCTTCCTTGAATGGAGCAAAACAGTGTAAGACCATCTGTAAAACTTGCCATTATTTGATTGCCTTGAAGATGTAGTTACAATTATATGTTTATATTGTACTTAACTTGAAACAGGATTCATTTATTTTATTAACCTACAGAATTCTGGTCCATAAATGTAATAAAGAACTATAGAGGTAGTCCTCAACTTATGAATAGAGCCGAGGTGGCGCAGTGGTTAGAGTGCTGTACTGCAGGCCACTTCAGCTGACTG